CCGTGGCCCTCCTACAAATCATTTGTCGCTCTTCTCCCCCAAATCCAGGCGCTCTCTGTCCTCAGCTGAAAGCCTAGATAGCCTAACAACAACATTTTTTTAGGCGTTAACTGTGAAATGCAGATAAGTGGATCTACTTTGATGATGGATCATTGAGGAATTTATGCCCTTTTAGCTCTTCTCGTGAAACATATTTTTTTTACATATAGGACACTCAACTTTCAGTTTTTTACGCACTTACCACACAATTCCTATGCACATTTTCATACATATGTTTAAAGCACCAAAGTATTATGTCTGTACATATGCAAGCTTAGATTTCAGGTATGTAAATGCTAGAGAATTGTGTGCTAACTATGTAAATTTCCCTTCATATAAATAATTTTATTATTTATACCTCCTACTACTTGCTTTGTTTGGCATGGTTTGTAGATACCAACTTAGATTTGTTGTTTTTTGTTTTTTAATAGGTTTGTAGATAGTCTCCCTTGAGTGAGGAGTATATCTTTTTTTTGTCCTTTGAACTGTTATGTAGTGTTTTTTTTTAGATTTTAGTATATTGAATGTGTTTTCATTATGTTATTGTTGCAAACAGCTCCACTGCGCGTGGCTGAAATAATCATTTTTTTTACCAACAACTGCAAATCAACTGTTTACAAACCGCAAAAACCAAACAACTTAACAGCTTATTCAGTTCAGGGACAGAATGATCATTTATCTACAAACAACTGCAAATCAGTTGTTTTCCAAACGCACAAACCAAACAGATAAACAACTTATCAGGATCAGCTGCAGATACGCAGCTTATGAGATCAATTAAATTTTAAGGATCTTTGAATTATAATCTCCTTGCAATTCAAAGTTTAAGGATCTTTGATGACATTCTTCAATCATTTAGGTTATTTTATTTACATGAGAAAGCATTTACTCCACTATTGAGATCAATTAAAGATATAGGGTCTGTTTGGGGTAGTTGAAGCTATTTGAAGTAGCTGTGAAGCTGCTGAAGAAGATACTACTGTTCAAAAAATTGTGATGATCATTACAATTTTATTTTTTTTTTTGAAAAAGTCATACCACAATCTTCGAACAACCATCGCAGATGGCCAGGTTTGGTGAGAAAATGCAACTTTCAGGTGTAACTTCTTAATAACATAGATAAATCACAGTTTTGTCAAACAGTAAAAATTATGGTGCGGCACTGCACCGCCGTCTCAAACGCACTCATAGGGTCCGTTTGGGACATAGTTCACAGCGCTTCGCGGTGGCCGGAAGCGAAATTTTAATGTTTGGTTCGACGTCCTGCTCGCGGTGGGACGCGAAGTTTGTGGAAAGCACGCCGCGGGTAGAACCTAGCGGCCAGCGTTTGCGGGGGAGATGTTAGCAACGATCTTCCATAATACCCCTCCCGCCCCGCCCTAACCAGAAATCTTTTCCTCGACGCCGAAAGGACCTTCTTCCCCACCGTCGCGTTCCTTCGCTCGACTCCCGCCTGCCCTCCTCCCTCACTGTAGACTCAGGTATCCTCTCCCCCCTCCCTGTCGCTCCCTCCTTTTCTTCTAGTGATGGTGATGCTTTAGGGCATGATTACTGGAGTTGGTTCCTTCTGGCAGCGACGTATAGAAAGTGCTTAATAGAAAGATGCTTAAATAATTGTTGTTGTATTAAAAAAATGATGAAAGGAGGAGATTATGATGAGATGCATAGATTGGCAAACAAATGAAGCATCTATGGCAAACAAATGAAACAATCTTTTTACCAAGAGCTTGAGCTTTCTTTCTTTCCCAATATGGAGTACATCAGTCCAGGTTACAATACAAATTTGATCTCCAATGCATATTTGATCTCCAATCTGGAGTACATCAGTCCGAACAAGTGTTTGAATGTAATTTTGTGGCTTCTCCATTATTTTAAGCTATTTTCTGCTATTTGCATTTACTTTTAAATGCAAATTGCAGAAAATTAAAATATATGTGTTTGATCATCAAAATTTGATATTCATAACTTTTAAAATTACCCAAAAATTACATTTATTACTTATTTAACACTGTCAAGTTCCACTAATTTATTACATAACAAATTTTACTTTTGAAATTAAAAAAATTTTCATTATTACAACATTTTTTTAAACAGTTTTACCAAAGGAGGGCAAAATTATCATTTTTTCAGAAACAGCTGCATAGCAGCTGTTTTTACACAGCTGCACCAAACAGACAGCCAGCTTCCTCGCAGCTACTTTCCCGCAGCAGCTTCCTGGGGCAGCGCAGGAGCTCCAGCTGCGCC